TTCGAATAAATAAAGCATTGTTTGTTGGTTTGGATGAGTGCGGCCCGCAGCCCCACAGGAGCGTCCCCTCCAGCCGCGTGGGCCTTCATCCGTCCTCCGTGTGTTACACAATTGAAAAGGCTGCAAGATACACAATTTGCGTGTAGACTATGAATTATAGCCAGTCCAAGTTATTATCGCTTATCAGTTACTGAGCCAGAATCTTTTAAGGCATTGACCATGCAAAAAAAATTACCCCTTTAATAAAATCAATCACTTTGCCGAGACCAGTTGATCCTTGGAAAATCTCGATGGCTCGGAGCAGTATTAAAGCCTCATCACCGTAATCCTTGGTACTAGTTACTGAAGCACCATTTGCGCTATTTTCCTGGTTGATAAGCTCATCACAGATGTCACAGCATCCAGCACGGGGTGGCTGTTTTTTGGTAGCATTGTCGAAATGAGATAGTACCAAACTGAATAAAAATACGGGGTGTTTTTGAAGAACGCATTAAAATAGAAAGGAAAGAAAGGGCCACGGAATGAAGTAGAATGTAAATTGAGTAAAATGGTGGGGAAGGAATGACCAAAAAATATGTAGTTGTAAGCTGGTAACAAAAGGGAAAGGATGGAAGAGTGGGGTACACTTATATTGGAAATATTAGAGGTACAGAGGAGCCAAAATAGTGGTGTTGAATCTCTCAGTATGAAAAGGATTAATAGAGATTAAGGAGGCTAAGAAAAACGGAGAACAAGAAGCGAAGCAAAACAGTAAAACAGCATATGCTGTGGCCCGAAACATTTCTTATCTACGACTTAATGGACCGAAACATTTCTTACCAACTTTAATAATTCTTTACAACCCTTTCATCTTTTTGTTCATATTTTCTCCAAAACCCTAAATATGTTGTGAATATGATACAAGACATGTAGAAGGACATGTGTGAACGCTGAATGTAGGTTTTGGCTATGGAAGCCCAGCCAAAATTCCAAGCAGGAATGTCTGAGTGGTGGTAGATGTGCGGTGGTAATCTGCTGCCCTAGGTAAACCAAAGAATAACATATATAGTAGAATGCTGTATAAACCGAAGGGAGTTCAGCACAACTGAATTCCATACGGTTCAAGGCTGGAAAAACAGAATTTGATAAAGAATGGTGGCGGGTAAGATAGCTGGGTTGTTAATGTGGAACAAACCAGCTGACAAGTTAAATGGTCATGTTCAGGGTATATGTACGGTGGGTGATCTGTTTGTGTTTCATCCCTTAGCTGTAAACACAGACAGTACAAGGTGTGGTTAGGGATGAGACTTCGCATAGACAGTAAAATTGAAATTAACAGCAACATAATTTAGGGGGCATCCAACATTCGAGATGAGGTAGTGGTACTCAATGCAGATCTTGAACACCTGGAAAGAACTAAATGTTGTAGAAATTTTAAAGATACAAAAACAGTGAATATCCCTGGCTAGGAGACTTGAAAAAGAAGGGGACCTGAAATCTTCTAAGTGTTAACATATGCAGTTTGTTTGGCGCTTTTGGCCCACCGTGGAGAGGAACACAGTCGAATTTTGATAATTAATGAAAAACTGGAAGTGCCATTTAGATCTCCCGAATAAGATAGATCAATAAAATTTGTTTCTCCTGAGAGAACTGTCCAACTTTTAGTTCCTACAGAAAATGAAACGAACGTCAGGATCACCAACAAGCTGAATATTAGGCAGGGCAGCGACAGTCAAAGCAAGCGGAAAAGTTACCAGTTAAATAGTTAGAACAAAAAACTTCAAATTTAAACTGACCCAAGTATTCAAAGAAAAAGTTTATGGAAAGACGAGAAAAACGTATTTTGTGTTCCTATTCATTTTCTTCAAAAAAAAGAGATTTCATAGAATAATAATTAGGATCAATTAACTTCACAGTCTCAAAAAATTAAAGTAATTTGGGTAGAAGTATGAAAAACAAACAATCGTCGACAACTGGTAGAATGGAGGAATCGTTCCATCTGTAAGAGCATATCCACCAAATGCTTCTTATAATATTCTTTCAACAATCTTTCACCCAAAATGTGATGCCTGAAAAACGTATATGCAAGCACAGGCCATTAAAAAACACTTGCTTTTTTTCTCAAATTGCTCGTTTTTTTCTCAAACTGCTCACTTTTTTTCCCAAATCATTTGCTTTTTTTCCCAAATTTATCGCTTAGAAAATATAGAATCTGGACGATAAAGAAGTAGCAAAAACGGCGAAATGCTGTTGAAGACCTGTTTCTCGAAAAAAAAAAAAAAAAGCCGGAAAAACAAAAAAAACGGTTTTAACTTCTTGCATACCGAATATTGCCAATGTACCTAGGGAAAGAGACCAAAAATCAAAAATCGAAAAAAAAAACAAGTTGCTACTGCTGCCAACATTCTCTATTCGTCAATAAAACAAAGTACGGCACCAAAAATCCGCATATTTAGTTACCAGAAAAAATTTTTTTAACAGAAAAACGCTATATGGGACATAAATTATACGAAATTTCTACATATGCTCGCCCCATCTGTACAATGAGCTGTAAATTTCTTTAAAAATCGCCAGTAACAGCTGGTACAACAGCTATATCTCTCTGCACTTTCCCGCAGGCTCTGCTTTTTTTGAATCGCCTTTATTTCCCACCAAAGGCTATACATCGTATCTGCACGAATTCTCGAGAATAACCGTCCTAGTTGAGCATATTTGGCCCATTTTGCTCTGTTTGCTAAGAAAACTTTCGCAAAAAAAACACAGAATGAGTATTTTTGCACCGAAAATGACCAAGGACTTATCATGAAACAAATCTGAGGCACAAAATTTAAAGGACATAAAAAGTAAAAGTAAGTAATTACCTAAAAAACATTAAAAAACATAAAAAAATAAGTGATATTACCTATGTTTGGCTATTTCTTGATTGTTGTAAAATACAACGCACTTGCTTGGGCATCCATCACGACCTGCTCGTCCAATTTCCTGGTAATAACTCTCGATATTTCTCGGTGCTGCAACTGCTTGTTAGTTTACGCTGCTATTAACACCGTTAAAATAACTCATCTAGTAATAAT